ATTGGCCCCCGGCATCCTTTCCTGCCCATGGCAGGGGGTCGGACTTGATGATCTGCTCAGGTCCCTTCCGACCCTACCAACTATGAAACTAAATGGCTGAGAGGGTAGAAAGCTGTGCTTACAGTGCTGCTTTATCAGCAACAGCTGTAGGAACACTGAATTGTTAGCATCACAGATACAACGACAGACCCCACAAGCTGCACTAATGACCAGGGATCCAGGTTTTCTGTTTGCTGTGGAAAGGTGTGGATATTCTCATTTGAAGCAGAAAAACACAGATTGTCTTCTTTAAAGAAGGAAACTATGGGAAATGGTGGGATTTCACTTCTAGGCTGGCAGCCTTCTAGCCTGCAAGGAGCTGCTTGGGTTTGGGGGAATTATGCGGAGGGCAATTGGAGGCAGGGGTTGTCACGTGTGTGCGCACACGTGGCCAGCATAAAGCTAGGCAGGGTGGTGGAAGCAACTCCAGCAGCTGGATTCAGGTAAGTCTATGTGGGGGGGAGGAAGGATTGGAGGGCCAGGACTTGGGGACTGCTGAGGGAGGGGGGCATGTGTGTGGGACAGGGGTGTGTGGAGGGGATGGGTGTGTGGGGAGGGGTGGGTGCCTCCTGGTGCTGGGGGAAGCTGTCTTGGTGCTGGGGATGAGGGGCGAGGGAGAGGTGCCTGCCTCTCCAGCAGGGGAAGAGGGTGGAGGGACCCTTTGGGGGCAGCAGGGAGCTGCATGGCTGGACTCGCAGGGATGAGGCAGCCGGGAGACACTGCCAGGGGGGAAGAGGGGGAGGCTGTGGCCAGGAAGTCTGGTGTGGCACAGGAGCCCCAGACCAGGGCGGGGGTGCCACAAGCCTCCCCTCCTCCTCCCTCCAGCCTGTGCCAGGGCTGGACTTGCTGCAGCTGCTGCACTTCAGCCTGCCCTGGCAAGGACAAAGCCTGGAGCCCTTCATCCTTCTGCTCCCCACAGCATGACTGGGCCAGAGCTGCACTCCGTTTCATAGTGCTATTGTGGAGTGCAGTGCTGGTCCTCCGCACCGCAGATCCAGCTGCAGCTGGTGGCGTGGGATAGTGGGTGGTGCCCCAGCTGCTGCCTGTGCTTCTGCATGAGATGCACTGCATGAACCTCATGCTGGAGGCCATTCCTACTGTGTCCCTGCAGACCACCATCCTGTGAGTCTGTGTGGGGCACCAGCAGAGCCAGGGTGCTATGGGTCAGGAGTGAGGGGCACTGGCAGAGACAGGAGGCTGGGGGTTGGGGGCGAGGGGCACCAGCATGGCCCAGAGGGGTGCGGGTCTCTGGGTTGGGAATGAGGGGCACCGGCAGGGCCAGGGAGTTGCAGGTCAGGAGTGAGGGGCACTGGCAGGGCTGATGGGGCTGTGGCTTGGGGGTGAGGGGCAAAAGCATGTCAGGGTTGCTCAGTGTCATAAAGCAGTGGGGGGACAGCCACAGCTGGACTCGTCCTGGTGAGCTAAGGGGGCAGGGGGAGCTCTGATTTTTTAAGATTAAAAAAATCCAAAATCAAATGCCAAAATATATAGTTATTTAGAATTTATTTTACTATAATGATTGAGGCACTGGCAGGCTTCCAAACTGCTTTAAAATTGTAAATATATCAATTAAATATTGTGTTAATTGATACCTATCTATATATATATAGAGAGAGAGAGAGAGAAAGAGAGAGGCATTTCATTTTAATTGTGGAGAAATGCAGATTCTGGGATTTTTACTGAGAGAATTTAGGATTCCCCCACCTCCACTTTAATCAGATAGTTTTCAGTTTTTAAGCAGAGAAAACCAGGATCCCTGCTAATGACTAGACTTGAGATCTTACAAACTTCTGGCTTCACGGAGTTAAACAACTTTGGTTTAGTATATAACCTGTGACAAAGCACAAGACCAGCATAAAAGCAAAAGCCTCAAATTTTCGTAGCCAGTCAGAAGTGGCAGAATTCCTGCAGTGCCCTAAGCAGGTCCCTATCTGGATTTAAAATTACTTCCTGACTTTGAAGATTATATAAAGGAGCCTACTTAGGTGAATGGACCTCCTGGCAATGACTTAGGGTTTCTTAGCCACAGTATGGTAGGTGGTCATGCAGCAGTGATGGGACTTGGTCATGGAGAACACACACAGTGGGCACCTTTGATTGCTTCACCTGTGCTTGGCTTGTTACTCTCTCTCTTCCAGGAGCATTCTTAACACTAAATGGACCAGCATTTTTGAAGAGCTGCCAGTTTTGTTGGTTACATGGAGTTAATACTTTCTGGATCTTGCTAACTCACCTGTGCTAAAGATGACATATGCCAAGAGTTAGGAATGGCCCTGCTTTGGCCAGCCCTGTGCCATTGCTAAGGCACTGAACCCCGTCAGACAGGTGCCTACTCCCTCCTCCACTGGAACACGGCTGATCTATTTGTCTTCAGAGACTGGCATTTCCTAGGGAGTAAAGCTGCACCACTCTCCCAGTGCTGCTGCCCCCTTACAATTTGAGAAAGGCTTTGTTTGCAACAAAATCCCAGTTCTTTGCCCCTCCCATCTGCACCCCATGCCCTATTGGACCAGGGGACTCTACAGGCTTGGGAATAAATTGGTGCAGGTCCTTCTCAAAATATTGACAGCATGTCCCTGTGAAACAATCCCCTCCTGCTGTTAGCAGTGGGGCTGCGGTTCCTTCTTTGAGAAGGAAATGGCCTCCCTGAACTCCTTAAGATTCAATTGACAGCTGATGCTCTGGGCAACATATCATGGTAGCACGCAGAGAGTAACATGGCTTATTCAGGAAACACATACCCCCATGGCAATCACTGGCTTTTTGAACAGTGCTCTGGATCCTCACAAGCAGGGTAGTGAAGGACCCCCCACTCCTTAGCATCAAACTGTTAAGGGACTGTTCATAAAGTGTTAGGGCTATAACCACAGAGGGAAGCCTCAACACTCTTCTTGGTGGATAGCTGGGAGGAAGTCAAAAGGCAACATTCCTGCCAGTGATGTGTTCCTTGGAAAGCAGTGCTCCAGAAACAGGGGGGACTGAACAGCTGGTCTTGATACTTACTGTCAGTTCCTCCTTGGCCTTACCTGTAGTTCCCTTTCTTGGTGAGCAGCTCCTTGAATTGTCCCAGAGTTACCACCCGTCCCTTGACAAGGGTGCGATAGGGGATTGGCTCTCCACAGAAGTAATAAGCAACCACAATGTTCTCACATGGATGGGAAGCACCACTGCTTGGTCTTTTCTGGGGCTTCAACCTGTCATTTGAAAACAAAACCATTTTCACTGAATATTGACCACTAGGCCAGTCAGGCATTGACTCCCTCAAACCAAGGCACACGGGAGGACCCAAGGAAGTTGGTTTCCACATATGCTGGGGTTACTGGTAAGCCTGTATCAGTGCTCGCTGCAAGCTATGGGGATCCAATGTGCACAGAGACTGGTGGCTTGAACTATTTTAGGCTCCCTGGTGAATGAAATGGATGCTGTCTGGTATTACATGCTATATTCTACAAAGCTGCCAGAACTAGCAAAGATCTCAGAAAGGCAACAGGGAAGCCCCTTCCCCCACAAGTGCCCATAGTGGGAAGAGACCTCCTTTGGCATAATCTCATTTCCAGCATCAGATGAAGGAAAATTTACGTATTAGCTACTGCCTCTGGTTTTGGGCCAGCAGCATAGGCCTGTCTCAAAAGACCGAAGGGGATCCAAGGCCCACACAAACAAGGATGTCCTGGAGAGAAATCCTCAGATGCACAGCTTGTGGGTGAGGGACAGAGGCTGTACAGAGTTGGAAAAGTCCAAGGGGAAAGAGGCCTCTATCCAGGAGTGGACTGGGGAGAAGTTTGCACTGGCTAATCTGAGCCTTGGCTGCTTGGAAGAAGAAAAAAGTAAAGCTCTTAATGGTGCTGGCCCCTGAAAGTAGGTTTTGTGCTTCTTTGGTAGCTGGCTTCAGAGATGTAGCACACTGGGTCTGCGCCTGGGGCAGCTGCCGATGCGGAGGGCTGCACTGGCTTTGCTGTGCCAATTGTAGCAGTTGCTTATGTACCCTCCACAAAGGCAGCACCTGGGATGGCTGTCCAAGTCCTTCCTCCCATCCCCCCTGTTATGCATGTGAGGACATATCATGGAATAATGTGTTCACAGCTCTCACAGATTGGCTAAGCCAGCCCCTGGGCTGCTGCTCTGAGAGAGCTGTGAACACCTTGTTCCATGATGTGCCCTTATATATACAGAGCTTGAAGCTGCCTTATTGTGCCAAGGGAGCAGGCAGACTCCAGGCAGGAGGTCACATTCTGCCCTGTGCTGAGTCAGCTCTAGCTCTGTCAGGGCAATAGACAAGCTGAGTGTGGACACAAGTTATGAACCCCTATTAATTGAGCTTTCCCAGTAGGTACAGGATCAGGGAGGGACAAGCCACTTACTGCTGCACAGAGAAATGCATCTGAAGTGGGGGTAATGAGTGAGTACCCCGGCTCTCTCAGTAACTGGGCTTCACACTGGGGCATGCTAACTGTTTCATAGGGTTTGCAGGATTCAGCTACCAGGGAGGATGTTTTCCTGGGGACATACTGTTCCAGTCCTTCAATGGCCTCCTGACTGACAACTGGACATGCAGTTTATTAGGAAGGATTACTCCCTAATACACTACATTGAGTAGAATATAATGCCTTTGGCAAGTCTGGACACTTTCAGGGAAGATTTGGAACCCAGAGCAGGGCGTATTCCTGTAATGAGGGCAGTCCCTAGCCCTCAACCATGCAGCCTAAGTCTGAGTGGGAATGGTGATACTGGAATCATCTTTGCCATCGGCTAGCTAACATGATCACTTATGGGAACAAAAATTGCCCTGCTGCAAAGTTTGGTTAAATTGCACATATCCAGTGTCCAATATGGTTGGTTTATGGCCATTTCCAAGAAAAATGCAGCCACCTAACAGAGGTAACAGGAAATATGGACTCATGGTGAGACTAGGACTGGGAGACAGGAGTTGGGGGGTTGACTCCTGGCTTTGCCAATGATTCATTGTGTAGTATACCTTTAGTTAAGTCAAAGGACCTGTATGCCTCTGAGCCTGCAGGCATGGTTTGCCTGAGGCACTGGTTTGCCTGGTGGGGGGAGTTATAAGGTCTAATGTTCTCCGTGTTTGTAAAAGCACTCTTGGATACCTGGACAGTAGGAGTCAGACACAAGTCGAATGCCCTCAGTGGGTATTATTTACAAAGGCAGGCACTCCCACTTTTGTAAGCACAAACCTGTGAACTGACCCCAATGCAGATAGCACATAGGGGTGCCAGCACAGCTTGTACCCCTGCTATGCAGCACACAGAAGGGCAGCTAATGGCATTACTGAACAGGTGAGTTCTACCACAAGGTAGGGGAGATGTGGGTCTTAGCCACAGCATATTTAAAAATACTCCTTCTGCAAGGCATTCTGGGGAGGAAAGGGTCCTTTCTGTATCATCACACAGCATGGGGAGAGGGATCAGAGATTCCCATAAGTCCAGGGACTTGGAGGAGGTGGGTCTCGGAAGCAATCTCTTTGTGTATTTTCGGGCAGGAGATCAGTCTGCCTACATAAGCACCAGAGTTACAGCTGAAAGCTGTTCGCTGCACCAGGGTGCAAGACAAACAATCTGTGCATGAAAAAAAAAGCACACCACTAAATCTCCCTACAAACCAGGCACTGGCTACTGTGAGCATCATCAAGAGCAGGATATCCATCATCTGCTAGGCAAGAGAAGCCTTAGTCTGAAACCTGCAGTCATTCCTCACTCCCTTTAGTGGAGGACACTGCAGGAAAAGAAATTTCCTCTGCATATGAGCCACAGCAACCATTTCTGAACAGGGTCCAGAACTGAGCTCCTCTGGGATGCAGAGTCAGTGTGAGCAGCACTGCAGTCAAGTCTGCAATGTAAACCAAGGCCAGTGCCAGCCTGGCTGAGCCAGTTCGGTACAGCATTTCATTAGTATTTATTGAACACTCATGCAAACAGGATTCTCTCTTTTATCCTTATATAGGCAATTGTAGAAAGTAGATGGAATTTTCGAGATCAGCATTTGTTTCCTCTTTGCCAATCTGAATTTTCAGTGGTTTTAAGGGCATTTGCAGAAGCAAACCCAAGAAATTCAGGTCACTTTAACATCAGTGGCACTCCTTACTGACATTGACAATTGTATTTTCTGGTAATTTAAGATACACCGGTATATACGATGCACCCTACAAGAAAGGGATAAAATTGAGGAAAATTTTTAATAAAATTTGATTGAATTTTGGTAAATTTTTAGTACAGTGATTTCAATTATTTTACAATCCATAGCTTCAGGGCTGGATGAGTTTGACACCCATGCCACAGAGTATGGCACTGAGGTGCTGAATGACAGAGCCTAATCATAATAACTGCTAACAGCTCACCAACCATTTTATGTGGCAGACTTCAGAGCAGAAGCTGGCAGGCATTCTCTAGGTGTGGCAGCATACATTTTACAGCCTGTTATTTCTTTAAGTTCAAAAGTCTGTGTATTCTGTATTTACAGCCTGTGCTTCCAAGTGTTGAATTGCATAGTGCTATGGTGTTACAGCAGTGTTGTCACTTTCCTTGTAGCCGTATTCTGAAGGTGGATACATGTACAGGCAGCCCTCGCTTAACGCGGTTTCAATTAGTGCTATTTCGCTATAGCGCTCATTTAAAATCGATACCTGGTTTCACTGAGTGCTCAGAGAGTTTTGCTATAGCGCTCAGTGGCATCAGCACCTTTTGGCGGGAAGGCAGCAGCAGCAAGTGTGGTGAGTGGCAGTGAGTGGGGGGCAGGTGTGAGCATGGGGTGGGGTGGGGTGGGGAGAAGCCAGATACGGCTGCTGAATACAGACTGGTGGGGCAGTGGAGCGTCCCATGGGAGGGGGCGCGGTTTTGCAGCCAGCTGGGAGCGGGGTGGGGTTTACAGCTAGCCAGGCACGTAGCAGGGATGCTGCAAACCCTGCTGCTCCCAGTCGGCTACAAGCATCCACCCTGCTCCTGTGGGATGCTCCACTGCCTGAGTTCACCAGCTGAAGCAGCAGCAGTGGTGAGGAGTGCGGGGCCTGCGCCAGTGGCCAGGGCCAGAGGCCTGCACCCAGGGTGGGGCAGCAGGAGTGCGGGGGCTGGGGCCAGAGCCAACAGAGACCCATGCCCAGAGCGAGGCAGCAGGAGTGCCGGTGCCCAGGCTGGCAT